CTTTCGTATAGAACTCGCAACCCAAAGTTTTTTTGGAGGACAACCAAAGTTTTACCATGAGAATAGATATTATCAAATTTATTATCCACCAGTATTTTGTTTAGATAATTCAGTAATCATTAATTCCATTTCATCATCATCAACAACTAATAATAATTATTCATTTTATTCATTAGTATCAAATTTTCTTAAATCAACATTGAATTACATTGCAGATGAATATACATGGAGATGTTTAATATATTTTTTAATATTTAAAATCTCTCTCTCAATACTCACATTCATAATCTCGGTTATATCTATAACATTTTCTTTACCATTTGCATTGTGTTTTTTTTGTCCAAGCATGTACCTAGTGAAAAATATCGGAACTTGGCAAAAGGAAGTTGCTTTTGAATTTTTGGTTTATTAGAATCATTAGAATTTATTATTTATTTATTTATTTATTTGTAACAACGCGCTTGAAAAATCACACTCATATATATAGATAGATACACATATATGCACTTTTGTATTTTTAAAGACCACAAAATAATGAATGAATAAAATGATGATATTATTGATTAATTAATCATCTTCTATAAATTTTAGACTATACATCAGCAATAGTTAAGGATCTCCATCCAGATTTTATGTATGACTCAAATAATCAAAGGGAGGAAAAACCAGCAGTAACAATGCAAAAAAACGAGATTTCTTCAAAGTTTTGCGATCAATATTGGTATGGAACTGTGAAGTTTATGCTTGCATATTAATGTACCTCAAACTGGTCAAATCTTTTAAATTTTTAATATATATATATGTGTGTGTGGCAAAGTAAAACATTTGTATTACTTTTTAATTGTTCAACAGATAATTGGAGTATCACTTTGCTGATAAGGTTTTTCTATTTTGGTTTTTAGATGGTAAATTGTTCTTTCTTAATTGCTTTTTAAATAGCTTTATCAATATTTTTTTCTTTTCATCTTTGTAATTATCAATAAGCTATTTTTTGGTAGGCAAAACATATTCCTCAGTTTTTTATCCAATTTCTTTCCTTTCAATTCAATATCCTTGATGATTATCACCGCCCAATGACTTGCACTTTTAAACTTTGCGAACTAGCCTCAAATCATCATCAGTGTTAATTAAGGAGGATCCTGGATAATTATAATTGGTGTCATATTGTTCTATAATAGAATATTTTCTTTGTCATCCTAGTTGTGTGTATATAATCACAAACGTGATGTTGTGAAAAAGCAATTTTGAGTTAATACCATTGCTATATGTAACTCTTCATGTAGAGAATTTTTGGCTTAGAAAATATACCCACTTTGCTTAATAAAATTTTGAGATGTCTTCAATCTTGAAACATAGATGATCCGTTTCTATTGTCCAAACCCCATATAATCATCTTTTTTTGCCTTATTTTTTAAAAAAAAGGCCTCTATCATATCGTTGGTTGCACTCGTCAAGACTGTGAGTAGTGAGAAGGTTTACACGGTTATTGTATATGGCAGGATGTCAATGAAAGTTAAACTTCAAATTGTTTTGGCAGGAGCTCTGAAGATATGATTCAAGGAATCAGAGGGAACATGGTCATGTTGATGGTTGGAAAGTTCCTTAACGTTGGATCTGAATTATTCGTAAGTGTTTTTTTTACGATCGTTCATTTCGTCGACATATGAAAGTATATTGATTAATATGTGTTTTAAATGGTTTTATTAAACATGTATCAAATGACATTTTTCTTTGCATAGGTGACTGTTGTTCAAGCGATTGAATGGTCCGACGCGAACGATCTGCTGGTAGCATCTCTTTCTCTTTTCCCTGCAAAGAGGAGGACAAGCAAAGGGAGAACGAGATCAGCAAAACTACTTCATCACAGAGAGGAATGTCTACAATTCGTTCACTGTAACAAATTGATGATCCTGTGTACCTATACGGTCTCGAATGACACAAAGCAAAGCCTCAATCATCAAGGCCAAGAAAATATTTGAGCAACAGATCATCAGCAAAAAAATCAACACCGTCGTCATCCTCAACACTGACGAATGCAACAACATCATCAAACTCGTTGTTGAATGAAAGATCACGAGCACGGTGCGATAAGGAAGAAGCAGCAAACAAAAAAAGGTATTGAGAACAGAAGCATTGATCAATGCGATGGACCGGGTGAACAACAAGGGCAAACCACCAATGTACAATTACCGAGATGTTGAGGTTCGGGATATAGATCATGATAGTGACAAAGAAACGGCAGCATTAAACATAGTAATGGTAGGCTTTTGATTTGGACTGACATTCAAAATTATCACATTACATGACGGACACAAAACATCATTAGAATTTCCAAGCTCTGGAGATTGTGAATACACTGTTTGATATGTAAGTTCTGGTATTTAAATTGATCAATCGTAAATTCGTAAATTGCTTTTAAGATATATCTTAATCTTTTTGACCTTGAGATAAAATCACCATCATATTTATCTCAAGTTTTAGCAATCCTATTAATATGTTTAAATAAATGATCAATTGATCCATTGGTGGTTGAAATTTTCAATAATTATATGTATAATTTTTTTAAATTTTTATATTAAACTTACCAGATAAAACTGACGACCAGTATAATCATCAAGCTCTATTTGTTTTGAATATGCTTGTCAATAAATTATTAACATGTGGATTCTTATAAAATGAATTTTTTTAAAAATAATTGTTTATATTCTTTGAATTTTAAAAGATAATACATTCATTCATCCATTCATGTATATTGATTCAAGATTAATTACTTTTTAACATTTCAATAATGTTTTTATGCGTAGGGTTGTGCAAAGTTTTTTGGAACGCGAGATTAAAATGAAGTGAGGCGATCCGTGGATGGCCAATTCGGATATCCGTAAAACAATTCGGTCATATTAATATATCAATACGGATTGACGTATAGCTTTTTAAAAGACTGACGGATTACGGATTTAAATTTTAGAGTCCATCGGATATCCGGTGAAATCCAACGGATGCATTTTTTGAGTAATAGTAATTTGTAATTGTAATGACCTATTATAAACCCCCCCTCATATTTTTCCCAAAATGATGTTAAACAGATGTCTAAATTTGAATGGCCTTTATTACTTAGTAAAGTTTCGCTGTACTTTTTATTGCTAAGTAAAAGTTTTTTATTATTAAGAGATCTAATTTCTTATGTAAAATGGTAATAGTAATAGTAATTTATGGATCACGGAAAATCAATAAAAGTTGCACGAAAAGAAAACTGATCAAGAATTCAAACCAGTCCAATTTGATAAAGTATTACTAATAAAACAGTAAAATAATAACTCACAGAAATTATTGAGAAAGAATTCTAAATTGTAACAGACCCTTTAATTCTCTAGAAATAACTTGAAATAATCCTACATGGAAAGTTCAGAGAGCTAGATGATTGAATCTTTAACATATATCATATTATAAGAATAATCATAACCATTTAATAAATAACAAACGGTCCTTGTCCTTGTCCTTGTTGTTGCCTTCGAATTTTATATTTTCGTAATGATAATAAATATATCTCTTTAACTATGAATTCATACTAATTCCGTGCATAATTACTTTCTCTTGTTTTATGTTTGTCACTATTTTTTTTTAATTAATTACTATCTTACCAGTGGATGCCTTTGCTAAGTATAGTTGTATATATTTATTTATTTATTTTACTTTACAGAACTTAGGGAGATACCTAAGACCAGTGTAAACCTAGGTAGGGCCAGTAGAAGCTGAGCCGAAGATATAAAAGTAAAGCCCAAAGAGCAGGATAAAAATAAATTAAGAATTTGGACGTTTCCGACTCAGACAGATAACAAAGAGTATCTGCTGGGAAAAGCGTGATTGAGGGTAATAGTAATTATTGCCAGAGATTTATAGCGAAAGACGCTATTGAAATTCTATATTTGTAAAGAAAAGCAATTGCATATTAAAAGATTAAAAGTTGAAGAATATTGAAATCGTATTTGTATTATTTAATTAGAATGTTGTTATAAATAGAATATTGAAATTTTGGTTGAGACTCGGACACTATCTCACAATGTTTAAATGTAAACTGGGTAAATTAAATAATTCAAATTGTTAATAGAATCTTTTTTATATTTAGCGTTGTTCTTCTATCTTTTTATAATTCAATAGATAAAGCCTAACATCTCAGCTAATATATGACATGTCCTTAGTGAAAATTGGATGTAGACCATTGAAAAGAAATCAAAAAACAATAATTTCAGGAAATGGTATATACAATATATATATTTATCTATGCAACAAAGTGAACATTTGCCCACTCTAGAGATCCTGTGATACAGTATTGAGGAAATTCGATCACTCTTTCATCAAGCAATTTGTAGAAAATCAAGAAACTTATTCGAATAGCATATATTGTTAAGCTTAGAGAGCAATGGTTGAAAAGGGCTGTCAAAACTATAATAGTTTGCCAAAATGACTTTTGGAAAAAAAGAATCAATCATTTCAATTCATTTGCCAAATCAGACCATACTAATTAACACAAATAAAAAGTTGAAAATTTGCCATGTTATTATTATGGTCTTTTTCTAAAACTTGTAATTTTTATGTAAATTTTTTGCATTACTGCTAACTTGTATTAACATTGATGGTTGAAGGTAAAATTTATTATGGATGAATAGATAGATAGATATTAAGAAAAAATGCCAAAGATATAAGATCATCTAATAAATCTATTCCTGTTGGTGATTCAAGAGTTGCTGATAAAATTTATTTATAAGAGGCAAAGTATGGAAATATGTATGCATATAATTTTCGTGACTTAATTCTAAAAATCTAAAACCTGAATATTTCATAATTAATTAATTAATTAATTTTAATTTTAATTTTAGATTTATATTTTTTAATTGTTATATTCTAAATATTTTTATTTTTATACAAATTTAAATAATTAATAAATATTATTACATTATTATATTATAATCTTATATTTACTATTGTTATTATAATTATTATAGTTATGACTTTTTCTCTGGCCAACCCTTTTCACCATTTTCACCTTCTTCTAAAGAATCTTGCTGACCAATAACTCTTAATACTGATTTTTTACTTGATTCTTGCATTTCTCCTGCAATAATTAATTCATCCAATACAAAATATGCCTTTTGATTGGTTGATTCAGTAATTGATTCATTGATTAGTAATTGGTTAATATATGTCTAATATATATCTAAATATATGTTGAATTAATATATTTATTCACCTTTTGAAAATTAAAAATCAAATCTAATTCACAAACCTAATATTAATAACAAACATAATATTAATACAAATATAAATAAAATAAAAATAATCAAACAAATAATCAAACAAATAATCAAAATAATTTACATTTCCAAAATAACGATCTAAAATCTCCACATAACGATGAATAATTTCAAGCGTTAAAAGTTCATTATCCGTATCAGAAATTCCTGTAACAAAGAATAAACTTGCATATCTACAAAATATAGAATATTAATTAATTAAAATTATTTATGTTATTTAATTATTTTTATTTTTTAATTTTATTACCTTCTATAAACAATTTTTTCATCTTTAAAAATTCAAATTCATTATTAACATTAGATTTACTTACATATGCAAACAAAAAATATTATTATTATTTCAATTATGATAATTTAGAAAGTCGAACCTTTATATTCCAAGAAGTTACACATTTTTGTTCTTCTTGAAAGAACCATTTGAGTGGCTTCTTTGACTATCTTTTGTTTCTCTTTCGTTGATAATGTATTAAACCATTTTGCAAGTCTCAATTTACCTTGTCTACTCACTAATAAAACATACTTAATCTAGTCAAACGTTAATATTATAATTTGTGAATATTTGAATTCATACAATTCATATGTAAAATGTAAATTAACTTACTCCCATTTTATTTTATTTTTTGAAAGAAAAAATGTGTGTAACAAAATTTGAACTTTGGTTAAAAAAAATATATCCAATACAAGAAAATTCCTATTTTATTCACTAAAATATTAATTAATTGTTTATTTGTAGAAGATGACTTTTTTAGAAAAATCAATACTCTATCCAAATATAGATATGAATTTACTCCCATTACCAAAAATTAGAGAAGTTACAACTTATGTAGTCATAGACTTGACACTTGTTTTCTGAATCAACTTTGAACCATTCTTATAAACTTAATATATATGGATCCTCTTACAAATTATCAAATATTTGTAAAAAATATCAACAAATATATGAGCAAATTACAAACAAACAGAGAAATAAATGAAAGTTTTAGTGTAATATAGAACTTGCAGATATATAACCAACCAAGGCCAAAAATGATAATCAAAACAATGATAATCTATTCCATGAATTAAACTGATGCTGATTAAAAAAAACAGTTATAATGACTTAAATAAAAAATTAGTCAAAACTCAATCTCTTGATCAATCTCTAAAGAAGCAATTGGACTCTTTCAGAAAGTGCATCCAAGCCATAAAAGCCAAAACGAAAAATAAACTGAAAACTATTAATGAAAAGACAAAAATTTGAAGAACTAAAAAAAGTAAAAACAAGTGCACAAAATAGCAAATAGGGTTAGCAAAGACCTTTTAATTCTGCTAACTAAAATATTAAAACAAACAACCTCCACCAACAAACTAATGTGGTAATTGAAAGAACAAATTACTAATGCTAATCAAAAAGGTTGAGTTGGAAAGAAATGATAAATTATTGAAATGTTCATTACTGATTTAAACTAGATAAATTAGATACAAAAGATGCCGCCATAGGGAAAGTTATTAAAATCATCCAGCAACTAATTCAAAAACCTCTGAGAGGATAATAGTTACAAAATTACAAAATGGTTTACAGGAAATTCAACAACAATTATTTAAACAAGAGAGGAAAGGCCTGATTCAAGAAAATATTCACCAAAATGGAAGAGAAAAACTTTATTGAAGCAGTCAAGTCTAAGGAATGAAAATTGTTCCCCTATATTAAAAGAAAAGGTTGCTCAAAGCCTCTACCATCAAGCAATGAATCCATTAAAACCAAAGAGCAACTGACTGATTGTTAAACACGGAAAGGAAAGAATAATTTTGATTGTTTTATTGGTTAGTTTATTGATGCTAAATTTGCTAACATTTGGAGGACTAATTATAGGATTGAAAAATCTTAAGAAGACCAAGAAAATTATATGAATAAAAAGCATTGATTAAAAGCAAATACTTGAAGACTTACCGATCATTTGGTGATTATTATTATTATTGCTATCTTCACTTTGCTTGGTCTGTCTCACATATTACATTTTTGAATAACAATTATTAAACAATTATTATTGTTGTTATTATTATTATTATTATTATTATTATTATTATTATTATTATTATTATTATTATTAAATAATACATTAATGATATGAAAAAATAAAGAAAATTTTATAAGCTAACAATTATTATTAAGATTACTAGGATAAATTTTATTTTTTAAATTTTTAAATTTTTAATATATATATATTTTTTGTGTGTGTACAATCTACTAGCGAAAAAAATATATAAAATTATATAAAAAAAAATATGTAAAGTAATAATATATAATGAAAAAGAAAAATTATGTGCAATTAAAAAAAAAATAGAGAAAATTATATACAAATAATTATAAAGAAGAAAAGAAAACTACTGCACTACCAGATAAATTAAAAACTATTGCTAAAACTAAATAAAATAAAAAATTTTACCCCACAATTATAATAATTACAATTCTTATATTTAACAACCAATTATTTTACTACCAGTTTTGAGCCCAGCACTTCCGACAGACAATGATCGACGTCTTCCACCTTCAGAAATACTCATGAAAATTGCAGTTTTAGATGCTTTGGACAAATTATGAGGAATTTTAGAAACATTTTCAAACGAATTATCATTAAGATTATTAATCATTCTACTAATACCACCAACTTTGGTAATATCACTAGCAGCATTTTCATTATTAAGATCACCATCATAGAAATTAGTTTCTCCTTCAATACCACTATCATTCTTGTTGTTGTTGTCGTAGTAATAATTATTCGTTTGGTAAAGACTAGTTGGTCTTAAAAGTTGTTGTTGATTATGATTATGTGGAAATTGTTTAGAACGTTGCTTAGTTGGAGAAAAGTACGAGTCCATTGGTAATGGGTTATGGGCACGAGTAATTGGTGATGAACCAAATAATAAATGGGAATTATCAACTGCAAGACGACTTGGACGAATCGTTGTGGGTGACGTTGTTGTTGATCCAGATGTGGAGGAAGAAGAAGCATTTAAAGTGGATGTAGAAATTGTAAACGGTCTTTGACGCATCTTTTCAATTTCAATTGCTTTCAATTCATCGTAACTATTACTAACATTAGCGGTAACGATATTTTCATTTCTATCATTGTCATCATAAAAATCATTAATAATATTATTTTTATTATCGCTGATCTTCAACTCTTCCATTGATTTAGTAGTACTCTTCATGATAAATTTTTTATTAATATTACTAATATTACTACTGTTGATAGTGCTACTACTAAAGCGATCAGGTGATCCAGACAAAGAAACAGGTCTACTGGATCCACGACTAGAATTGCCCATGATTTCCATCAATTCTGCACATGCAAGAGCCTCATCAGACCTAATTATACAAAGATTAAATATTAGAATTTAGTGACTGTTGATTTATCATTGAAACAAATCATAATAAATCGCAAAAAAAAAATAATCACTTACATTGATTCCAAGGTGTCACCATTATTATTAATGTTGTTGTTGAGGTTATCATCTTCACTATCCTCCTGCACAGCAGAAAGACCCCAAGGACTATCATTAGTAACGTCTGTGGTTGGAGCTGTAGTGGTGGTAGTATGGGAAGTCATTTTTTGTTGAATTTGCTGTAATTGCAATTTCTGCTGCTGCAATTGTTGTTGTAATTGTTGATGTTGTTGTTGATGTTGTAGTTGTAATTGCAATAAAGATGAAGTAGTCAATAGTGATTGATCATTGATATTATTAGCATTGGCAGCAGTAGGTGCAACCTGGGTAGAAATAAAGTTATTATTGTTGCCGTTGTTTAATAAATGACCAGCATAAGCATATAAAAATTTCTTTGGAAATGGTGCAATGATATCCGGCAAATCAGTTGTAGTGGGTGTGGTTGAAGCAGCAACTAAGTTCGTTGTAGCGGATGTAGTAACAGTAGTAGCAGCATTGGCAGAAGTTGCCTCACCACCAGCAGCAGAAGACATGTTTAAGGTAGATTCAGAGGTCGCAATAGAGGTGGTTGTTGTAGGTGAGGTTCTTTGAGTAATGTTGTTTAAATTTCCACCATGAATGTTATGATTTTGTTGTTGTTGTTGTTGTTGAGAAGTATAAAATAATGTCATTTTGTTATTGATATTGTTATAGGAAATTTTATAAAGAAAATCTATATTATATGTATAAGTTTTTTTTGTGAGATGAGTGGAGAATTTTTTTTAATATATGATAATATATGATAATTTTATTTATTATATTAAACAATAATAAAATTAAAATTGTCTATATGTAAGAAAATATTTATATATTTATAAAAAAAACAATATAAAAATAATCTATAGAAAACAAAATATTTAACAAGAAATAATATATTTATATATTTATAGATGGTTGTAAATGCTAAATGGAATTTTAAAAGTGATGTTAAAGATGTTGCTAAAGATGTTGTGGAATATGTTGTTAGAGATATGCAAGTTAGCGTGCGTGGAAGGAAGATTAATTGTGAATATGTGATGTTTGTAATAATATACAATATATATATGTGTGTGTGTGTGTATGTAAAATATTTAAAATTATATCGTTAACAGAAATTAAAAAAGAATTTTTTTTTCCTCGTTTCAAAAAGAGGTATTTATGTGTATATATTATATATATATATATATATATATGTATATAAGAGAATGAATATTTATAATGATGATGACGATATACTTATATGATGAAAATAGAAACAATATAAAAGGGAGAAAATTTATTTTTTTTTGGGTTTTTTTTTTTTTGTAAGATTTTTTTTAAATAGACAAATAAGCAGAAGTGAAGCGATAATATATAACAATTAATAATAGAAATAAAGAAGGAGGGAGAGAAGAAAAAAAAAAATCTTTTAATATTACTATTATTATTATTGTTTATATTATTATTATATATTATTGTTTATTATTATCAAGTAATTTGTTGGGTTTCAATTGGTAGAGCTAGAGATCGTGAAACATTAGAAGTTACACATAAAAAGCATGTTAGTGTAAGAAAGAAGTTGATTGAAAAAGCTAATTGTTGTTTATAAAAGAATAAATCCAAACTCTCATTATCATCATCAATTATCAATATCAATAATATTTCATTGTGATTTATTTATTTATTTACTAATTTATTTAAATTAATCGTTGGGATAATTTTTTAATCGGAACATTTATCGGAATTTAAAAACAATTTCATTTAGATGATTTAGATGATTATATAATTGGTTATTGAAAAGAACGAAAATCGGATGTTCCAAATGCCTATAAAAGTATATTATTAATATTAATACTAATACGAAAAGAAAAATCAATAGAGGCTTTTTATGGTAAGCAGAAAAGCGAGGTCACATGGACATGATTAAATTATTTTTATGATTGTCAATCTGTTTATTTATTTATATAAGTACCAAAAAAAAAATCAAAAATTTTTTTACGTAATTAATTTTTTTTCTTACGCTAACTAATCTCCATTTGTAAATCTGAATAGTGTCTGAGAATATTCTTGAATGATTTTTTGTAGAGATCGATTAGTGGCTAAATGTATAAAACAAATATATAGTCAGTTTTAGAGAATTGAAAAATCCCAAAATTTAAAATTTTATTTGATCTTTACATAAAATAGCCAATACATCTTTTAATAATTCATGTTTGGACATCCCCTATTAAATAGAATGTTATTAGGAGTAAATATATTAGTAATAAATGAACAAATAAATAAATAGATATGTTTGTGTATCGCTTACTGCTACAAAAGGATCCCAATTTGCACTGTTTGCACTGTTTGCACTAACAATAGATAAACAATTAACAATAATAGGTTAAACGAAAACAAATAAAAAATTAATGATGATATTGTTATTACTGTACCCAACATTATCTAATGGGCCTAAAAGTCTTGAGCAGAGTATATTTATCCTCTCTTCGTTGCCAACATCAGCCAACGCTTGAGCATAATTTAACAAAATTTTCTTATATTCGTTAGGTGAATTAACCAATTCAGCCGCCAGCAATTGATTATACAAATGTCCAAGTTTACTTTCACCCTGAGCCAAATACGACAATGTACCATAATTACCACCTTTATTTCTCGCAATTTGTTCTATTGAATTCAATATTCTCCTTGGATCATTACCGTACCCTTCTGTGGAAGTTTTCATTTCTTTTGATGAGTAGCGTGGATCATAAATCTGTATCCATGCTTTTGCACTAAGGTGATAACACCATGCTTCGTTAGTATCAGTCATTAGTATTGGTACCCCATTAGGTCTGATAAATACTCTTTCAATCGATGCATAATGAAAATCTGCTGATGATAAACTGGATGGTTGAATAATAGGCGTTATAGAAACAGATGATACTACTGACTCTAATTTTGGTAATTTCCTATTAAATAAAAATAAAATAATTAATTGATGTATTTCAAAAACATATTATTACTATGATTAAACTATTCACCAAACATTAACTATTCCAGTTTGAGATAAACATAATAAATATTCTCTTGACATCAATATATATGATGCAGCTGAGTCAAGTCTGATATTAGGTAGTAATCTATCATAAAAAAAAAAGTATTTATTGGGCAAAAAAATTAATATAGCACAGATAGATTATCAAACACCTCAACCAAAATCGATTACCTTAAACCACTGTGATCATATATTATAACACTAGCATTTTCACATCCAATAGCAACATACTTATCATTACCAGCAATTAGCGTTACTGCATTTGGAACAATATCACTCCAAAGATTTATTTTATTAAGAGAACAAACGATTCTTGAAAGACCTAATAGGGATAATTATATATATAATAATACATGCTATATATACATGCGCAATATATATTCTTTTCTTTTAAAAAGAACTTTACCTTGATGGTTATTATGACATTCAACTTTAAGAGCTTTAAATTCAGATAAATCTTTGGAAAGATAATCTTTGACTTTATGAGAAGACAATCGAACTTGTGACGTGACAACTGATGGAGTTATCATTGATGGCCTTGTATTATTGTTATTTAGTCTTGATGGTGATGATGTTATTGTTGTTGATAGATTTTGTATTTCACCATTCACTTTACCACTACCACCAGCAGCAGGAAGTAATGCTGGCCTTTTGTTCGGTGAAGCATTGGCATTGGCTGTATTATTACTAGAATCTGAAATTGCAGATTCTTTTCTTTTAGTTCCTATGAAAACAAGCGGTAGAGTTTCCATACTTATTTCACGATTTGGTGGATCAATATCGGGATTTGTTAGCGGATTGAAATTATTTGATGATGTTGATGAAATATTAATGTTCGTAGTAACTTCCGAAAATGAAGAAGACGAGGTACTAAAGAATGGTGAAGGACCTGTGTAAGAGCTTGTACTAAAGAAGAATAGGAAGAGTAAAAAATTACAAAATTTTTTCAGTGGTTATAATTAATATTATTATTTGAGAAATAAGTATCTATAATATATTTATTTATTTAATACCTTCTTAAAAAATTGGGTTGAATACGTTTTTTACCATCTTTTGTAATCGTAATGTGTTGTTGGATCTGATTTACAGGTTTAGTTGTGGTGATATTATTGGAAGAAGAAGAAGGAGGTATTATTGTTGCTGTTGCCACTTGATTAGAAGATTGAGCAGAAGAAGAATCATTTGAGATTTGCATTTGTGAAGCTTTATCAGTTTGTTGGGTACTGTTATTTTCGTCATTCATGTGATCAATTTCTAATTCTGTATGCGGAGAAGGTGATGATGATGACGGAGAAGAAGAGGAGGAGGAAGATGGTAGTTGGTTTTGTTGGAGTATTGTTGTAGTTGGTTTATGTGATGATAAATCTGACATATGCGATGTTTGTGACGATAGAGTAGATTGTGATAAGATTTGATCACCACCCATTAAAGCTGCTATTCTAGAAGAGGAAATTATTTTTTTTGATATTGCATTCTCTTCTTCCATAGCAAGTTGAGTAGTATTTTCAATAATTACTGGTTCTTTTGGTTTGTAACCATGTTTCGATAAAATTCTTTCTTGTTCTTCAGGTTTCAATGGTTCACCAAATTGATTTTTTTTAAATTCCAGTATTGTGGCAGTTCCATCATATGAACAAGCAAAAAGAAATCTTCCATCAGGTGACCACGATAAATCTAAGATACAATGTGTGAATAATTGTTTAAAGACTAATAATGGGTGAGAAGAAGATGTTGCCCAAATGGATACACCATGATCTTGACTTCCAATTGCACAAACACCACCAACAATGGTTCCACGATCTTGATCTCGAATATGATAAAGAATTGGACTAAAACACTTTTTTAAAAAATAAAAATTTTTATCAAATTATAATTTCCCCCTTGAAATTTTAGTTAATATATTACTATTTACTATATATTCATACATATACAATGATACTTACAACAACTTCTGTTGGAGATTCGTGGCCAATCATTGAAACATCGATTTTCCATTCATCTCTACGGAGAGCTATTGCAACAGGCACAGACCCCTGACAAGCATTAGGAATTGCTAGATGAGAACCTTCTGGTGACCAACTAAATAACGAATCCATTAATATTAAATTAGAAATTTTATGATAAAGTATTTTTAACAATAGATAAATAAATGAAATGAAATGAAAATTAGTGCCTTAATCTGCTAAAGAAAGTTGTTATGGGAGAATTTAAAAATGGTTCATTTATTTCTGTCTGAACTTTCCAATCACTAGTTCGCCAAATCTTAACTGATTTGTCATCAGCCTAGTAATAATATTAATAATTAATAATGATTGACATGTGTATAATAAATTTAATTATCAAATACCTGTGTAGCCAAGTATTCACCGATAGGATCCCATGAAACACCTTTTACAAAAGCACTATGACCTTCCAGTTTATGTAGTCTCTCTTTTCAAATGATAAAAGTTTATGAATATAAAATTTTTTCTTTAAAAATATTTATTTTATAGATTGCTATTCACCAGAAGTTTGACAATTCCATATATAAACTGTACTATCAAATCCACAGGAAGCCAAATATGTATTATCAGGTGACCAAGATAAATCTGCTACATCTTCATTTCCCCAAAAAAAAAATCATAAATTTTTTGAACTGTTACAAGTAAAGATAAATATTATTCAAAGGATAGATTTTCTTTACCTGATTCATGACCAGCTAAACGTCTAATTGGTTTCCAAACTTCGATATTTTGTTCACCGCTTCCAAAAGTACTACCGCCTCCCCAACTAACTGCAGCTCTAATCGTCAAATAATTTAATATTTAAATATTTAAATATTTCTTATTATTTTTCCCCCAAAAAAAACTCACGCATCTAATTGCCATATAAGGATGAGGTCATCATCAGATCCTGATGCAAAAAAATGTCCATTACGATTAGACCATCTAACACAGAGTACTGATCCTATGTTTCATATATGTGTAAAAAAGGTATATATATAATTATCATCGTGATCCTAAATTTATAGCTTTTTTTACTTTCTTCTATATATAGATATAATCATTAATATTGACCAGTATGAATTCCTAATGTACATAATAATTTTGGAGAAGTTGTATTTGGATTCATTATTGCTTCAGTACTCCATAATTTTATTGTGTTATCTAAAAACACATATTCAAAAAAAAGGTTAGTCATACAGCCTTAAATCAATCAAAACAAGGTTTAATCAATCAACATCTTTAATAAAAGATATTATACCAAGTCCTCCAGTCGCTATCCTTGATCCATCAGGATGTACATGTAATGTAAAAATTATAGTCCTTTGCCCTTTATCATCTTTTTTTAAAAAAATTTGAGGGAATTATTATTGTTTTTTAAAAAAATTAAAATCTAAAAATCAAAAAAAATTTACCAAAATGAGCAAGCCACTCTGGTTTTAGAATTTGCATTATTTTTATGTATTAAAAAATTTTTTTATCAGCAAAAAAAACTTTAAAAAAAAAAATTCAAGATTTTAATTATTGTTTACTTTTTTAAAAAAGTAAAGTATGGGATACATTTGAGATCTGCTATGTATCAGTGTTAGTGTTAGTATCACAAAAATGGAATTTGAAAATGTGAATATATAAATAATAAATAATTATATGATTCTAAAAAAAAATAAAACAATATGCCAGAACAGTCTGTTTATTCTTATCCTACGCTAGCTCAAATAATTACGAAAACAGATATAACCCTTCGTGAAATATTAGATACATATCGTGAAGACAATGATTTACTAAAACTAATTTTAGTAGCAAAAGCTCAAGAAGATAAGGCAAGTTTTATTTTCTCAATATCAAAAATAGAAAATGGAAAAATATATTTTATTATTTTATTAAACAAATATAATTTACTTGGTAATCAAAAAAAAATGTTATAGAGAAGAGCTGAAGAAGAAAAATGTAAAGCTGAAAGGTTTAGACTGCAACACAGACAAGTTGATTTAGAAATGTTGAGAGAACAAAAGAAACTACCCACAATTTTCACAGGAGCACCATGTAATAATAATAATAATGATAATAATAATAATAATGATAATAATAATAATAATGATAATAATAATAATAATGTATAGCAGTATTAGCAATAATAATAAAAAAGGATAAATAATATTAATATTTTTTACTAACACAAGTTTATATAAATTTAATAGCAATAATAAATAATGCATCTTCAACTACTAGTAGTAACTTTAATGTGTATGTATTATATGATCGATATCAATATCAATATCTTTATTTAATTACTAATTAATTAATAATTTTTATTACATGAAATAAAAGTAAATCTCCAGATATTATTCCACAGCCATTAGGTAAATTAAATCTTCTCATTATTCTCATTATTATTATCAGTCATTCATTACTCGTTCATTCACTCACTCTCAAAATATAATTATTTCAGGTTCTCATTTCTCTAATACTCTACCTACAAGTGCTACTACCACATGCCTTTCACCCCCACGATCAGATAACAATTATAACAACAATAATCTTGTACATAATCATATATCATCATCATATGATAATAATAATACTGATAATACTGCTAGTAGTAGTGCTGCCATCACTACGAATCAAAGACCTTCACTTACACTATCTATTCCTTCATTCCCAACCATTTCTTCATCACCAACTGTTACGAATAATCATCAATCATTTTCAATTCCTAATAGTGGTATAGAATATTCTCATCATTCAGCATCCCCTTTAAATCACCATCATTATTTACAAAGTCCAAATAGTGCAATTAGCAATAAACGCACTGATAATAATAATGAAGTTGATCATGAATATGTTATGGAAGCATTAAGGGCTAAAGTTCAAAGAAATCAAGAAGATAATCATTATGCAAAAAAATTCATGAATGTGTTAAAACCTAGAAATGCTAATATATCTAATCATCATCATTGTAATAGTGATAATAATAGTAATAATAACAATGGTGATGGTGATGATGGTGATGATGATAATAATAATCAACAAATTATTAAACAAAAATCATTATCTCCTGTTGATTCCTTGTCATTTTCAAAACTTCATTCACCAACTCATCCACAATTACCACCATTTAATAATGTTCATTCATCTGATTTAGATTCTAAATCTTGATTTAGTAATTTTTGTGTGTATATTTATATTTGTATACAATATTTTATTCATTAATCATTAAAAAATGGAAATGATATAATGGACATATATTGGTTACAATGGTAATATCCACTGTATCTAGAGATCCAGAAAATATGGTCAATAACATAATTCAAAAGATGAATTCTTTCATTATTATTATATCATTCTTATTATTCTCCAAAATTATCATTATTGTTAATAATCTAAAACCATTAAATATTAAATAGTTAGTCTGGTTTAATTTAATACATCGATTGGAAAATATTCATCATTAAAATTAGCATTACCACTTATAACAATAAAAAAAAATCATAAATAACTACTCAACTAATACAGTGTTAGCATCTGGCCAAAATGGACAAAAAAATCGGGAAAATTTTGGCCATTTTAACTGCTTGGCTGTTTGGCCATTTTTCCTCCCTTATTATTATTATTATATTAATATTAATATTAATATTAATATAGGTGATTCAGAGAAATATACTTCAGAGTATGAAAGGATAAGGGGAGAAAGTCGCTCCAGATAAATTGTACCAAACTATTGAAGAATATTTATTAGTTTTACCTATGAGATTTACCAGAGAAACGAAAAATCATAAACCAATATTAACACAGAGTCTAGAAATAAAAGAGAAAATGATTGAAGCCATCTTAAATTAGTCGTCAAACATCTGTGTTGGCTTACGAGTGATATATCTCTGACAAAATGGCAAGTATTATTCTAAAGATACCCGATACAGGAAATGATCAAGCTTTAATATAGTGAATAGTAATATAAATAAATTTAATCATTTCCTTATTTGTAGTAATGATTGTTACACATAAAACGTAAACTCAACTCGTAATCATACAAGTCGTCATCACTAATATATTATTTTAAAAAAAATTTTATCAAGTAAATGAAATATTTCAATTTCTAATTTCATTATTCAAGTCTGTGATCAAATTTTAATAAATAAATATTTTTTAAAGCATTATATATATATATAAATAAAAATGAAGATTACAATAAAAACTTTAAAACAAGATCAATTTCAATTAGATGTTGAATTAGAGGATACAGTATGTTGACCTTATCGTTATTAATCTTGTTTTTACTGTTGTTGATTTAGCTTACGTCCACTTTCTTATTACTCATTATTGTTCATTTTACGTTGTACATTTTAGGTGCTTAATATTAAAGAGAAGATTCAAGAAATTAAAGAATACGATATTCCTACCCAAAAACTTATTTATTCAGGTATTCCTCCTAAAACTTAAACAATATTCTTTATGGCATAAGTTTTATTTTGGTTTTTTTTTAATCTAACAAAAATCAATCGATAAATAAATAATTCACCATCATCATTTTTAAACAGGAAAAATCTTGACAGATGATAAAAAATTATCAGAATATGATATTACAGAAAAAGATTTCATGGTGCTCGTGGTTACGAAGGTGACTAGAAATTACCCGATTGATTATTACTTTAACATAACTATTACTATTACCATTACTACACTATTATGACAATATCATCCATCTATCGTCACCTTACTAATTATTATTATCATAATTATGATTATAAATGATTATAGCCACAATCTAAACGCCAATCTACTCCATCATCAACAACTAAATCTAGCGAAACTTCAGATGCTGTAAAACTTCCAACATCGCCTACAACAGCCACTACTAACACTGTCGTCACAACTGAAACTTCATCTACCGCTACAATACCATTACCAGCTACCACAACAACCACCACTACCACTGCCGATACTGGTGCAGCAGAATCTAATCCAGCATCTGATGCTTCTCAAATGTCAGAATTATTCAATAATCCTAATGCTTTAGGTATTTATTGAAAAAAGAAAAAGAAATTGTTATTTGCTTATTGAAATATTTTTAATGATTGATTTTATATTAACCATTAATTATAATAATAACAATTATTATTTTATTATTACAAAATTCAAAGTTACTGGGGCTGATTATGAAAAATCAGTTCAATATATGATGGAGATGGGATTCGATCGTGAATCAGCTGTAAGCGCCATGCGGGCAAGTTTTAATAATCCAAACAGGGCTGTTGAATATCTTATGACTGTACGTATATATATCTATAGTAATTAAAATATCTATTTTATTTTACATATACACGTACTTGTTTGTAATAAATTTTTTTTTTGAAACAATTTTAAAAATAGGGAATTCCAGAGAATTTTGATAATAGTTCAGGAACAACAGCTCCTCCAGCAGCACAAACAACACCAACAACAACAACACCAACAACAACAACAACAACAACCAATACCCCAAGCGGAAATACTACTTCTGCTACGCCAGCACCAGGTGTTACAAACCCTACTAGTACCAATAGTGCTCCTAATTTAAGTAAGTTTTTATAACATAGAAACAAGTAAATAATAAAAAATTAATTTTAATAATGTAATTATATAATATAATCTATTAGGTACACAACATTTAAATCTTTTTCAACAAGCACAAAATTTACAACAACAAAGACAAAGAGCAACCCAAGGTGGCGGCGGTGGTGGTGGACAAGGAGGAGGGAATATGGATGATTTGAATTTTTTGAGAAATCAACCACATTTTCGAAATTTAAGACAATTTGTTCAACAAAATCCAAGTTTATTGCAACCATTACTCCAACAGATTGGTGCTCAAAATCCTGAATTATTGCAGGTATATCATCATCATATTTATAATATATTAACGCTACTTTCTTAACAATGATAATAATAAATTATTGTTTGGTTTAGCTTATAAATTCGAATCAAGCTACATTTATGAGACTTTTACAAGAACCGGATGAAGGTGGTGAGGGCAATCTTCCACCACCACAATATGTTTCTGTGACACAGGAAGAAAAAGAAGCAATTGACAGGGTAAATGAATTAAATAATAATTTCAACAATAATTTCAATTTTCAATTTTCAACCTTATTGTTTTTTTTTATTAATATTAATAATGATAAATATATTTTTTTGGTAGTTGGAAGCTTTAGGATTTGATAGAGCACTTGCAATTGAAGCGTATCTTGCTTGTGACAAAAATGAAGAAATGGCAGCAAATTATCTTTTTGATCATATGAATGATGAAGAGTAAACAAACAAACAAACAAGCAAGCAAATTAATTAATTAAATCAACCTAATAATATATATTATCTGTCGTCAATATCATTAATTATTATTATTATTATTCGGAAAAATTATATAGAAAGAAAAAGTAAATAAATGTTTTTTTGAATTATGATAACTTTCTCATTATTATTTCATAATTTATTTTTTTCCTTCTTAATTTATTAAGGTAAAATATTATTATTTTGTTATTTAATTACTTAATCAATTATAAGAATAAGAAGTATATGTAAATTTAATAATTAAAAAAAAAAAAGCTAGCAATGCACATATTACTTTGTAAATACTAAGCAATTGTTTGGTAAAAATATAAATGAATAGATTGTTCTATTTACATTTCTTTCAAGGACTTGATAATCCATGAACTTCTGCATAATTCAAAGAGAAAAATTTTCATAGTCTCAGTAACCTTTTTGTCAATTCCCAATTTTGCTTTTCATTGTGACATTTTTTTAGTAATTACCATGAACTTTTTGATGATTTCATGACCAATTCATAGCATGTTTGTTAGCAGAAATATTATGATCTTTCTTATTGCACTAATTTTCTTTTTGAGGAATCTGCTCATACTCATTGCTCCACTATCCATTGAGGTAAGCTATGCCATCAAGCATGTGCCTTGTTCTGTTTTGGAAAGAGCTCGAAAAGCTTCATGCAGTTCAGAAAACTTTTCTTGGCCGAATAGCCATACAACCCATTTATAAAGGATGGGTGGCTTTTTTCATACCATCTTATTCACCTTTTTTTCTTTCATATATATGTATTCTTATTACTATATATAAATTTTATCACAGTAGTTTTTTTTTACCAAAAACAATCGTCAATTAATTTCAAAAATGGGATTGAAACAAACAATGCTTGTTACAAGACTTTATTCAACGAGCATTTGATTTGTATATCGTTGGTGTTTGGTGTTTTCATCGTTAGTTGGACCCTATGAGCTGCTCCACTTTGATAAGTCAATTTAAATAAGATTGTTAGTCACCTCAATTTGATTTGAAAAATCAAGTTTAGAAAACAGCTCAATTTACGTTGACAGAAATTAGAGATTTTGCTTTACAATTTGCTCTAATTCAAAAATCATCCGAATTGGATTTCTATAAAAAATTTTAAAATTCGGATTTATATCTCTGAATAATCAATTGATAATTACCAAATCTTTTAATCGTTCATTGCTTGAATCTTCATTCTTGATAAAACCAATTTCTTAATTATCATCTTTTTAAAAATTTACAAGATGATAGTAACTGCGCATACATATTGGTAGTCTCACGTGATCAACGCGAGTGTCAGTTAAAGTCCTTCGTATTCATGCCTAGGGAAAGTAAAAAGACAGCCTTTTGGTCTAATTAATTAGATAGTAGCTTAGTTATTTAAAAGTGGTAGAATTGTATTCAAGCATAAAGTAAGCGGGTAAAGCGCGCAATTATCTGAAAAACATTATAGCTTAATGGGGTACGTGACAATGTAGTAATATATATAATAAAAAAAAAGAACAGTATAGCTCGACGAGGATATTGTTCAAGTCTTTTGATCTTGATTTTCACCCGATTAGACTTTCTGTGAAGTTATTCTTATCCGACTTTGCCTTTTTGTAAAGTCCCGATATTAATAAAGCAAGCAGTATATGGAGCAATGCAAGCAAAGCATGAACGACCTTGGGAGATATGACTAATCTGCATGTGAATGTGTCGGTACTTATGATAGAAAAAAAGCTTACTACATCATGGGCATCTCATCAAAAAAGAAGAAATGAGTGATGACAGGTACAACATAAATTCAATGTTTGTGCCTATCGTGCAGTTCACACTACCACCAATCACCACATAGGCGAGAAAGATCGCTAAACACAAAATATATGCAATTTATATTTTTTTTAATATCTACATTTTGTTTTTCAGTTCTCAGTCAAGAAGAAGCGTTATTTTGGGAGAAAGTAAATTTTCATTTCAACTCAACTGCAAGAGATAATTAATTAATAATACAATGATAAGGTAGAGTAGATATCATAGAACAGGAAGTTATTAAATAAATTTTTTTTTACAAATTATATATTTATTTATATTAATTGTCCTTACAAAATAAAAATAAAACTTTTTCTAAAATCTAAAAAATATATATTGGAATATATTTTTTAAGTGAAAAAAAAATGGAATTAACAAATTTATTAAAAAAAAATATACAATTTTTAAATAATAATTTATGAAAAAAAAATAAATATATTTACAAAATAAATAAATTATAAATAAATTATATAATCACCTAAATATGTACATATATGTATGTATGTATGTGTGTGTATTATATATATAAATCAAGATTGATAATTCGATCGTATTCCATGAACACGAAATCTATAAAGACAAGTATATTGTGGATTATCCCAATTGCTATTTACCTTCATTAAAACAGCTATTATCGGTTTACTGTATCTAAGCGCTTCAAAGGTTTGTATGGTGGATCCGTTTATATCATAAGTAAATTTCCCCAAAAATAAATGATTTGGTGACGAGCCAAGCTTTAAATCTCTTTCGTCGCCATTTTTTTCATCTGAACTTGATTCACTTGGATTATTTGCTGCGTCATTTGGATTGCTTGTGTCATTTGTATCGTTTAGATCACTTGGAATGGCGGAATGATCGCCAAAAATACTTTCTTGTTTTTCTTCTTGAATGACATCATCTGTTTGTTTCAATAATAATGGTTCATGTCCTTGTTTTGGATATGAATTATCGATAATCACTTCTGGAACATCATCAACAAATCCCCATACTTCAAATTCTTTTGGTGCACTTGTGACACCCATTGCTATATCTTTACTCACATGATCATAAGTTATAGCTGTAACATAGATTCTTCTACTCAACAATACCGCTAATTGACCTTTCGGTCCAGCAAAAGGCCAACACTGGCCAACATGAGTCTCAGGTTGAAGAGCCGTTATTGGTGGCTTGCCTCTCGTGATTCCATGACCAGTTATTGCTGCCATAATTCGTTGATGCCATTGCGTAGGCCACATTTCATACGTTGGAGATGTTAACGGACTAATGATCTTTGCACCACCTGAGGAAAGTGCATAATCTGCCTTATTTAACCTATCCTGTGAATAAATATACAATTTTTCTTCTACCGCTTTGTGAATCTCGTTTTTAATAATTTCGGCAACTACATCATCGAGAATATATTTTTGATATCTAGCCATTTCATTGTTTTCAGGTTGAATACGTTTTTGGATTTCTGCCGCACACAAGCTTCTAACTTGTTCCGCAACTGCAGCTCGAATTATTACATCGCTATGTTCATATTTAATATCGCTACCAGCATCTACATAATTTGTATATTCCGAATTGAGATCACTGTCTTTAACTATCCAATATTGACATCGATCACTTATATATGACAATCGACAAATGCAAAAGAAACCTAGAAACAATATAAACGTCATAACTGCTGTACCCACAACCCATTTAGCGTTTAATAACCCGAAAATCGCTTTAGCCAATATCCTAAATAAATAATAATATTAATATATTACTAATAGTATTAAAGGTATATTCATAGTTTAAAAAATTCTTATAAGTAATATAAACGTATTACATACACAATCTTATTTTTATCATTGTCTAATTCTTGACGTGTATTATCATCATCATTATCAATGACTTGATCCATAGCGTCATCATTGCGATCCATAACGACATTGCGATCTATATCGTTGCGATCTATATCATGGTGATCTGTATCATGGCGATTTATATCATTGTGATCTATATTATTATGATCTATATTATTACTGTTGTTGTCTTTGCTGCCGTTATTATCAATGTCTTCTTTTCCTCTAGCTTTAGCATCGCTTTTATGTTTAGTTTTATTAATTGGTTTCTCGATTCTTTTCTTCTGGTTATTATTTTTTTCAATGTTAAACCTGGGTCTTAAATTATATTGACTTTGCATGCTTTTCTCGTCATTAGCCATTCTACTAAGAGAAGAACCTGCATTGTTATCATCATGATTATCTAAAGTAGGTTTAATACATTCATTAAATATATTATGATTATTATTATTATCGTTGTTATTTTTGTTGTAATGGTTAAAACAATTTATAGAAGTATTTGAGGTAAGTGAACTGGTATTACTGGAAGGATTAATTTGTGAATTGTTGGATGATCTAAATACTGACGATTCTGATATAATTGATGCTAAGGTAGTTGTTGACTCAATAGATGCACGTCTTGAACCGTTGTAAGAACTATTTCCATTTTGATCATACGGCCCTTTATTAAAAATTTTATGTGTTATTTAGCTAGAAGAATGATTAATGGTATCAACAGGATAAATAGGTAAAAATTTACATGATCGAGGAATATCTTCATGTTTTAAATAATCGTCGTTATCACAATTATGACTTGGATCAGAAGAAGGTGGTGTTGGTGGGGAGGATTGCTGCTGTTGTTTTTGATTATGTTTTTGGTCATACAGTTGTTTGGGATGCTTTTGTTGTTGCTGCCTTTTTTTAATTTCATTTTTAGGTTTTTGTTCTTTACGACACAAAGTATCGCTAAATTGTTCGTTACTTTCTTCCTCTATTTTAATTGGTGTTTCGTCCTGGTTTAATCTTGGAGATCTTCTTCTTGACATATCTCTTAAATATTAAATAAATAAAAGAAAATACAAATAGTGAGCTTGTTTTAAAATTAAAATAAACCGTAAAGCAAGCTTTACACTTGTTGGTGGCGTATTGTTAGAGTTTATTCTTATTATTGATATATTTATACAATAATACCTTTTTTTTTTAATTAGACAGAACTTTAAGACTTTTTTTTTTTTGATATTTCTCCCAAATCCTTCACGTGATTAATCTAAAAATGGATAAAACCGACAAACATCATATTGTCGCACTTAATATGGGGCATGCTGCAACAAAACCAGAAAAAGTGAACATTGGTATTACCAAAGGTTACAGTGATCAAAATTTAGTCATTTGTAATGTGATCATAATCAACAGCTTTATAATATCCCATTTATTTTAAGTGATATATAGTACTACTCCTATATAAAAATAGTTAATATGAAACATATGAAACTCATTTACATCAGATCTACTATGGAATCCAAGAATTATAGCACTATCAAAAGCATTTTAAAAAAAGAACAAGGTGAAAAAATTTCTCCTTATGTTTTCAAAATGAATGGTGTTCAGACACTGGAAGCTTATCTAAGAAAAGAAAGTATTACCTATGAAATTTACCAAGAAGAAAGAAAAATAATAAGTGTTAGAAAAAGAAAACATCATGATGATGCATTATTACCTAATAAAAAGCAAAAATCTTTAAAAGGAAAATAACTACCATTTTCTTTGATAGTTAGAATGAATTTCAATTTATATAGAATATTCTTTAAACTACTTTCTCATTTTCAATCAAGATCATCTTTTAGTCTCTTTAACTTCAATTTGAACAATTTGACCATTCTGCTGATCTTTTAATTTCCTGTTTTCCTCTTCTAGTTGTTTAATTCTTTATCTAATAATTCCTGTTTTTGCTTTTTACTTCACTCTTCAGATTTTTCCTGAAACTTGGCTATTTCCTCTCTTTCAATTGTTAATGCTTCTTCAGCAGTGGCTAATTCTTCTTGTAATCCATTTATTTGTCTTTCATAAAAATCAGACTGACTTATTTCCTCACTAGGCAAAAGAGGGAGTTCCTTTTCTTCCATGTCTTCTTCATATCTAATACAAAAACAAACATATTTATCACCACAAACATCGAATTTCTCCTTACAACTTTCACACACTACATCATATGCAACATATTTACCATTTACCTTAACATGAGCTACTATTTGTTTAACAGATTTATTATCCTCTCCATAACAATTAAAACAAAAATCACATGTTTTCCAACTTGACCTTTCTAAATCTAAAGTGTGTAAGTTAGTTCTCTCATTAATTATCTACTTACCTCTATTCTAGCAACTAACTCTTGGATTTGGTGTTTTTTGTTTTCCACCAGTTGATGGAATTCAGTTTTTAATTTTGTTCTTAATTGTCTAAATTTGCTTTGCTTTTTGGGTAAAGCAGGTAAATCCTTTTCAGCTAAATGCAATTGATTTTGCAATCCTTTGTTTTCTTCTGTGAGATTTTTGTTTTGTGATTCTTTTTCTGAAATTATCTTATTAGACACCTCTACTTTTTCCCTTTCTTGTTTTAGTTCTCATTCTAATTCACCAATTCTTGCACCTTTATTCTCAATTATCTTACTAGAAATTTCTAACTTTTGGTTTTTCTCTGCTATCTCCTTTGCTGATGCTTCTTTCTGAGTTCATCTTTCTTTCCCTCCTGTTTCTAAAGCCTCTAAATGAATTTCATTATCTATTTCAGCCTTCTCTGCTCTTGTTTTTCATTTTTCAACAAGGAGTTTATTCCTTTCTAACTCTTCTTTTAACTTGGCATTCCCTTTTTCTAACTCAGCAATCTTTTCTTCAAGTTCTTTATTTTTTTTGTAAATAAAATCAAAAGAATTTGAACTATTTCAGTTTCATTCACTAAAGCCTTAACCACATTTTCAAGAGTGAAATTGTTGCCAAAAATAACTTTCTCAACTCCATTTTCTTTTTGAATCCTTACTCAATCATCCTTAGGTCAAAAATGTTGTTCTAAGGTCATTAAAGTTCCAGCAATTTCTGGACTTTCATTTTCCTTAACATTGCAAATAGCATTTCAAATTCTTAGTTTAAAATCATCTTTGTTTTCTAATTGCTTTTTTAGTGTTTCTATTTCATTTAAAAGTTCTTTATTTTCATTTTGTTGTTCATTTATGATGCTTGTCATGATTTTCTTCATCAGGAAATTAATTTAGCATAAATTTGCATAAATCTTACAGTGTCAATGTAAGTTTTACACTTTTTTATTATTAAACTTATGATTGACATGTGCAAATTTTTTTTATATTTTCCGGATGTTGTTTGTTCCTTTTTTTATTTATTCTTTTTAATATACTATACTTATATCCTTTTTATGATGATATATTAAGTATATAAACTTTATTTTAGTACTTTTTTACTTTAAAGGTGGAAAAAGCTAAACTTATTAAACTTAATGACAGTAGGGGGACAAATTAACAAGTATGATAAAGTAATGAAGGCGTTCTAAATATTTTATTTGTTGCCAGTATAGAATGGTTTTGGGCATGTAATATCTTTGAATTCATCTCTGACAAAAGGGCAAATATTCTGATAAAGATATTCTTGCCTTTTGTAACCCAAAGGAGGTGGTGTTAACACTAAAATAGATAAAGCTCTAATTTCTTCAAAGATATCTGCTTTCTTGGTTTTCAATAAATTGAATTCAGCAAAAGTCCATTAGCAACTTCTTGAACTTTTACTATACCAAGATTAGATGTCTTAAAAAGAAAATGTTGATATTTCTGTATACTTGGTAATTTCTTAAAATAAATTCCCAAAATTGCTTTAATATCTAAGTATTGGAAACCTTTCCATCTTCATAACATTGAGTCTCATTCAATCCTGCTGGACTAGATCTTTTCACATCAACCACATGGTCTAGACAATCTACTCTTATTCTTCTGTAGAGTTTTTTAATCATCCCAAAATTAACATCACATTTAAATTTGTATGTCCAGGAATCATGAAATTCAATTCAATCCTTTCATAATAACCACAAATTACCAAATATAAATAAAATCAAATTGTTAGATTATTTTTATTTTGTCCTCCAGCATTATCACAAGTAATCTTTAAATGCTTTTCACTTTGTTCAATTTTTTAATTCCATCAAAGATCATACCAAGTGTACCATTAGGATCTTTTCCTATAATTTCATCTTCATCTTGAATATCAAATAAATGGACTTTAAATGGGCTGAGATAATATATTTTACTTACCTGTTGGTCAGAATGGGGCACATGAACATTTTGGGCTCAATCATAACTATAATGAGCAGTGACATCAATGTTGCAATATGATGTTTTACCCTTTGAATAATTTTTATTAACTAATTTTCTTTGTTCTTCTGCTAATTTTGTATTTTTATTATAATAATTTCTTTCTAATTTGGCCTTGGACAAATTTTCTTTAAATCTTTTGAGCAAATCTTTAGCTTCTTCCTCTTGGCGAGCATTATAATGGAAACCATCTCTAAAATGCTGGTGCAAGCGTGCAATCCGAGTTTCCTAATTAATAGGTTATTTATGGTTCAACACACAGCCTCCTCGCTGACTTACGGTTGATTCTAGTGTTACACAGCCTACTCACTGACTTACGGTCAAAAATCAATAAAATATAACTTTTATCTTTTCAGATAAAAGGGTCCCTAGGTTCTATATATTTAATTATATCCCAAAGGCGTCCCCTTGAGATGTTTCTCAATGATTAGAATGTTGGTTACTTATTAAGTACAGCAAAGGTTTACCCTTTGTAGTTTATTAATTAATTAGAGATTATTATTTAGGGTAAAATATGTTATGTGTTTTATTAGCGATAATAAT